GGTCTGGCATAGGGTGCACACCTGTAATCTCATCACTTAGAAGGCTAAGCCAGGAGGATTGCCATGAGTTTAAGCCCAGCTTGGGCTACATAGTGAGTTTCAGGACATCCTGGACTGCTACACAGTGAGACCCAGTCTCAAAAAACTAAAAAAAGTCCTGATATATAGTGACTGCTCAAGAAAAAAAATATAACTTGCTTTGTGACATGATTGATAGATTTATAAATGGTTGTTTGTTTTTGGTGGGATTTTTTTGTTGTGGGTGATTGGTTTTGTTTTGTTGTTTGTTTGTTTTGCTGTTTGTTATTTTTGGTACTGGGAATTGAACCTAGGAAGTTCATACTGAGCTATTTAATGGCTTATATCTAGATGTCCCCCCAAAATCTCATGAAGTCATATGTGGAGCTTTTCAGAGGTGGCTGCATCTAGAGTGTGTGATGCTGTGATTCAGGATGTGGAGCCAGGATTGATACATGGTGCAATGTTAGGATTAAGGGTGTCCCACCCTGGGTGTGGTAGCCTGGATAAAATATAGGGGAGAAAAAGAGGCCTGCTGTTGTCACTAGCTGTTTCTTCACTACTTTGTTTCTTTGCGGCCTTCTGCCCACCATGGACAGTTTCTCCTCTGTGATGTTTCTCTGCTATGCCACCCTGCCTTGGAGCCTATGAACTGAAACCTCTACAAACTGTGAGGTGCAATAAACCTTTCCCTCTCTAACTTTGGGTCTTGGGTGTTTTGTCTTGGCAACAAGAAAAAAGTAACAAAAACAGCTACATTCCCAAACTTGTTTTTTGTTGTTGTTGTTGTTGTTGTTGTTGTTTTGAGCCAGGATCTTACTAAATCACTAAGTTGCCTAGGCTGGGTTTGAATTTGCAATCCTGTCTCAGCTTCCCAGAATTCTGGAATTATAGGCTTGCACTGCCATGCCCAACCACATGACATTTGTATAGACTATCCTAAGGACAATGAAGTTTAATGGCAGAAGAAAGGCATGCTCAAATTCAGGTTAAGAAAGCAAGCTTTGCCTGAGGTACAAATAGATAAAAAGAAGCAAGACAAATTGTGGAGATTTGTACTAAGACAGTGGTATTGGGAATGAGCAGAAAATTAAGGAGCAGCAATGATGAACCAGCTGTCAGATAGTCATGGAAGATGAGGTGGAAGAAACAATTAAGAATAACTTCAAGATTCTCTTTTTTTTTTTGTCTTTTTGAGGCAGGGTCTTGCTATGCAGTTCAGGCTGGCCTTGACCTCACTTTGTAGCTCAGGCTGGTCTCGAACTCATGATGATCCTCCTGCCTCAGCCTCCCAAGTGCTGGGATTACAACCGTGTGCCACCACACCCAGCCAGACTTCAAAATTCTAGATTGAACAACTTAGTAGATAGTGGTGCCATTTTCTGAAAATGGGAAGAGAACTAAGGAATCCACTTGCACAGGAAGGGAGGAGTGGAACACGATAAATTCACTTTTACGCAGGTTGAGACTGAGTTGGCTTGAGACATCCAAATGGAGCTATTTTCTGAAAAGTTAGATGAGAAGTTTCTGGAAGGGATCTGGCCTAGAGATATAGATATGGGAATAGACAGCATGGGAATAAAACTCCTCTGTGGGAATACAGTGGTGCAGGGAGAAGTATGAAGTAGACAAGAAAAGAAATAAATGCTGAGTGTGTGGGCCCAACATAAAGAAAAGAACTAAAGCAACAACAAATGCTGACAAGGTTCTGAGGGAGAAGGAACTCCTCTACAGTGACGGTGGGAATGTAAGATACTATAACCACTATGGAGATTCCTCAGGAAACTGAAAATACAAATTCTACTTTACCCAAATGAAAGTCATAATACTACAGGAATACATGAATCCATGTTTATAGCAGCACAGTTCACAGCAACTAGATGATGGAAGTGGCTTAAATGCTTCTCAACAGATACATAAATGAAGAAAACATGACATATACCCAATGGAGTACTACTTGGCCATAAAGAAAGATAAATGAGTCAGTTGTAGGAAAATGGCTGGTCCTTAAGATCATAAAGCTGAATGAAATAAATGAGACTCGGAAGGCTAAGTGGTGCATACTTTCTGTCATATAAAATTCCTCAGCATAAATAATTTAAAGAGTAAAATAAAAGAGAGATGGTATTAAACAGAGATGTAGACAGACTCTGTGGACACGGGAAGGAGACCAAGAGAAGTGGGGAGAGGGCACAGTAGTGGGGAAGATGCTAAAATAATTGAGGCGCAATATGTATATGTACCAATTCCCCAAGACTCATTATTATGTATTGCAAACATATCATTAAAATATTTTTAAAATAAAAAATTAAAGTATATTGGAGTGAGTGTGTATGGTACATGTAGGTACTACACCATTTACTGTAAGGGACTAAACATTCATGGATTTTGGTATCCCTGAAGATTCTGGAACCAACCCCACTCAGGTAATGAGGGCCAACTGTATGCATTAAGGTGTAGCAATTACGATCCTACCAAGAGTATTGGGTTAATAACATCCCTTAGTTATTGTAGGCTGATCAGGTCTGCAATCTCCTGAATGAGTATACAGTGAACACTAAATAAAAAGAGGCAAATGAGATGATTTCAGGGCTCCAGGAGGGTCAAAGCCCTCTCACAGAATTCAAGATTCTCTCAGGGCTAAGACCAAGACCTTCTCAGGGTCACCTGTATTTATTTGGTTATCAGAAGAAGGGAGGAGAGTACTCAAGAAGGGCAGAACCCCTCAAGGACTTCTCTAAGTAATGTATTAAATTAATCCACTCAAGAATGAGAGGCCTGAGGCTATAGTCTTTATCCAGTTGAGATCGGATCCAGGTGTCCTTAGCTGTGATTGTATCTTATCCTTTGAGGCTTTCTGGCTTCATCCACCACTACAGGTTTTAGTAGGGATTAGTGACTCACAGAAGTTCACTTACTATGAGTCTGCCATTTCCAAATAAGAAGCCTAGGCCTTGGACAGACTCACAAGTGAACATGGAAAGCCAATTGATTAAGTCCTGCTCAGGTCTGCTTCATAGTGGTCTCCATCACAAGAGTGCCACATTTGTACATAAGTTACATTCCAAAGGAATCAACTGCTATGAATAACTTGAGCAGCAGTTAGATAACAGAAAAGAAGAAAGACTCCTTTGAGAAACCCTGTATGTGTGTATTTTTCTATCCCTCAGGGCATCAATAAAAAACATGCATAGAAAAATGTCACAATGGTCGGATTTATATATGAGAGCTTTGCATGTGAAGAGTCCAGGTGAAAAATGATACCGTGCATCTTATCAAGAAGTGAAAATTGATGAGGAACAATCACCTACATAAAAGATAAGTAAATATAACTTTGCTGGAAATAGGTCAAATAAACTTAGGAAGAAAGAAGAGGAAACGCACCCTCATGATTAGCACTGCAACATGCAGGTCTTATCTGAATTCTTGTAGCCAGATAAGAAATTTACAAAAATTTGAAATATGGCCAGTAAAAAGGATGAATTTGCAGGAAAAATAAGAAACACGAGATTGTAAATGAAATATGATATTTAACCAAGAAACTTGTACAAAATTGTCAAGAAAATGAAATATAATTGAAAGGAAAAGGACTTCACCCTCCTTGTTCCTGGTCTGGTTTTAAACACAAATGTTAGCAGAATTTGTCATTTTTCAAGGAGCTGGGACAATTCAAAACATGTTTGCTCCAAAATTCTTCCACCTGACTTCACATTCAAAGTTGGTGCCAATAAGTTTTATATCTTTATGCCTTTTCTGTCTTTCATAAATATCCTTCTTAATTTCATGTTTCAATATTTCTGAATCAACCTAACTCAAAATAGTCATCTTACTTCCATTGATTCTACACTGAGAGACAAGGTAATGTAGCACTCAATAACCATGTTTCCTAGGTTTAAATCTTGGTTCTGCTCCTACTTCTAACGCTTCTGAAATTCATGGGGCATGATCAAAAAATACAATGAAGGTTAAAAATTTATTACAGTAAAAGACACATTGCCACTTATTATCCTCAAAATACCCCACACACACTTATCCCATCACTCTTCTCATTTTCTGGAGCAGTTCTGGAAGTCCTTTTGCTTGAGTGTGAAGGACAGAGGTTGTGTGGTGCCAAACTCAGTGGATAAAGTGGACAAGAACACCCTGTAACGTTTTTACAAGCTTACCTTCAGTGGGATGGCACTTGGCAACAGTATGTAACATTTTTTATCACTCCTCTCATAGAGATTCTTACAAAGGAGGACTTCCAGAACTGCATTAGAAAGTGACTACAGCTATGAGATAAGTGTGTTTAAAGTGAAAATTAAGGGCAATGTGTCATATTCTAATGCATTCTTAAAACTTAAATAATCACTCTATATTTCAATCATACCTCATGTGGAGCCTCTCTGTGTCTCAGTGCTTCTTTAAAGTGGTATAATAATAGTACCTACCTCGTTCTTTTTTTTTCTTCTTTTTTTTTTTAGTGTTAAATAAGAGTTTCTGGCACATGGAAAGTTCTATGTAAGCATCAAGTGTCATTATAATCACTATTTTCACCTAATATGCATTCTCTTATTTGTCTGAATGACCCTGTGAAAAGGATATACGAACAAAGTTTAAGAAACTTGTCCAAGACTACACAACTAGCAAGAAACAAGAGTTAAGCTTCAAAGGTGGGTCCCTCTCATGCCCACTCTACCTTACCACAACAGTCCTTTATTTTAAAGCTAATTATATCAACATGAATCACTAATGTCTAATTATTTTCCCTTATAATATAATTACTGAACACTATGCCTACTTCATACATTCCTTTATGTAGCCCTAGCAACTGTCCACATCCTCTCATTTTGGCTTCTTTTAAGTAGATAAGTGAATACAATTCAGGAGAGCCTGCTGCAATTCAGTGAAAAGTGATCCTCAGCCCAACTTGGTCTCTTCTCAGAGAGGTCAAGAGACCTTTAGCACACACCTCAAATTTTGACCTAGTGAGAACTTACCTTAAGAATGTAGACATCAGATCTGTGCAATTATACAAATCTCCCTGGTATCTCTTCTTTCTCTGACAGCCTCGATGTATGCTTATCCCAGTGAAATTGTTTCATCATTGGAACCTAATGATTTGAAAAACTGGAGGTTTCCACCAAGTAAATTTCTGGTTCCTAGACAGCTATTGTTTCCTCTTACTGTTCCATTACCTTTTTCTCCTCTCTTTCATAATCCAAGCTTGATTCCTACAAGCCTAACCACCAGGAAAAATATTACCACTCTATAAACTCCAAAAATAAGTAAAGGATGATGTCTTAGTCTGTTTGTGCTGTTATATCAAATATAGACTGGTGGCTCATAAATAACAGAAATTTACTAAACACAGTTATGGACAGAGAGAACTCCAAGACCAAGGTGCTCGCTGGTTTGGTGTCTGCTAAGAGCCCTCTTTCTGGACTGGTTCATAGATGACAGCTTCTCATTGTGACCTCATGAGATAGAAGGGACAAGGGATCTCTCTTGGGCCAACCCATGGGGCATAATGCCAATTTTGTCATAAAGACACATTGTTGTGCATTTATAATACCAGTATATTATTTAGAATATTTCTATTGATGAATTATTAATTTTATGAATTTTATTATTAAAAAATGGTACTTAACAGGAAAAATATCAAAAACATAAAGTATTGATTTTTTTTTGAAACAAGATCTTGCTATGTAGTCCAGGCTGACCTTGATCCTCCTGCCTCAGCCTCCTGAGTGCTGGGATTACAGATGTGCACCACTACACCAAGCATGAATTTTTAATATTAATTGAGTATTTATAAAAAAGCATCAAAACTTTCAACATTAACTGTTTTCTGGTGTACAAAGTCTGAAAAATAACAACAAAAATAAATTTCTATATAAACTACAGTGAAAATACTAGTAGAACTCTACAACAGAGATAATCTTTACTTCAATTATCACACCTAATGCAGTCTTCTTTTGCATTCCTGGCATTTTTGTAGGACATACTTGACCTCTTGCTGCTCCTACTGTTTCATCAAGAGGTTCTTATTATATTATACAATGTGTAGTTAACAGGAACATAAAATATCAATAAAATAAAGTATTAAATTCCTACTATGTATTGTGTGTTTAGGAATAAACATCAACATTTTCACATCAGCTATGTACTTGCTTACAAAATCTAAATGATAACATCAGAAATAAATTCCTATATGAACTACAATGAAAAACCAATAGAACTCTACAACAAAAATAAGCTTTGCTTCAATTGTCACACCCAAGGCAGTCTTCACACATGACAACTGCATGTTCCATGCACACATCTCACTTACACTGACAGCATATATGCTTAGCTTTCCTTTCCCAAGTGATAGGCCATTCTTGTCACCTCTCTTGTCTTCCTGTCTTCTCAGGAGCTTCCTACTATACTGTACAATATGTGCTTAGCAGGAAAATAAAATATCAATAAAGTAAAATACCAAGTACGTAATGAGTGCTTAGAATGACATCAACATCACATGAGCTGTTTACTTGCTTACAAAACCTAAATGATAAGATCAGAAATAAAAACCTGTATGAACTACAATGTAAATACAAACAAGGTCTACCACAGAAATAATCTTTGCTTCAACTGTCCCACCCAAGGCAGTCTTCACACATGACAACTGCATCATGTTCTATGCAAAAGTGTCACAATGATAGCATGCATGTTTTGTTTTCCTGTCCTTTTACATTGGCCACTGTTGATATCTTTTTGGTTTTCCTGTTGTCATAGTATGTCTTTGTGATATTGCACCTACCTGTTCACTTGTCAGTGTACCAGTGTGCTCCACAATTTTTTGTATAGTTCTCTGGGGAGAAACATTTTTTTTTCCCTCTGCTGTAAATGATCTTGAGTTCTAATCCCAATCTTCTAAGAAAATTTCCCCATGATATTTTGTACTTATTATATTCTTTGTAAACTATCAGACTATTTATGCCACACATGCTGTTGTCTGTTTCTTTTCTTTGTTTTTTGTTTGGTTTTGTTTGTTTTTTTTTCTCATAGTGGGAATCAAACTCAGGACCTTGCACTTGCTAGGCAGGTGCTGTGCCACTGAGCTATATCCCTGGCCCTTATGCCACACATGTTTAGGATAGAGTAAGACACAACCATTGGCCAATTCCTTGTGTTCTGAGTCACATCATAGTTAATGCATAACTCATCAACATCTACTCTGCCTTTGGTTTTGATGTTTAAAAGTTACCATTTCAAGCTTTAGTTTTGTCAAGGTTTTAGTACAGTTAGGAACAAAGGAGCTGAGTCACTCCCTTCCCTTTCCCTTCCTTCCTTTCCCTTCCTTCAAATGTAAGTGCCGCACCACCCTAATACACTGCCTAAAGCTCCAGTGACTACAAAATGCTGCAAGATATTCAAGAGTCATGTATTCCGATATTGGATAAATTGCTTGACCTTTTGAAATAAATCTCTGGATGAGCTGATAGCAGCCAGATTATCAGTTATTTTTCTTTCTTGATGGACGATTGTCAACAAACCTCAGGCAATTTTGAAGGAAACCAAATCTCCTCAGTGTTATTGTACAAACTTCAAACTCATAAGTCTTTTACATCCATAAGTATTTTACATTCCTTAGTAGGGCAATTACCATGAGAAAGCCCTGCTAAGTACAGCAGACCTGTGATTGCTTCTAGTTCAGCTAGTAAGGTGTCATAATAAACACATTTTTGAGTATAACTATTGGTCCGTACAGAGCATTTTACTTGTATTTCATCATTTGTGTATTCCACAATATCTTACGGTATTTCTACTGTTACAGTTTCCAACATTGAATGACAGTGCTGCATTCCTTCCAAAAGATTTCACCTTACCAAGATCCTGGATGTAGTTCTAACATTGGATCATTCCATTTGGTTGTGTGACCATTTTGTACCATTTTGACCAGTTAAATATGTACTAATATTGCTATTTTCTTCATCATTTGAATCAGGGAGATCATCATTCTCTGTGTCTGTATCAACTGATTCTTGCTCCATTTAACTGTCTTAGGAACTTCGGATCACATGGCCAACATCACACTCTATGCACAACTCACCTAATGATTCCTTTCAATCTCCTCCATAACTCGCAAGCCTGGTTTTTCATGTATCATTATACTAAATTGGACTACTTCTACCACAAATACCAAAAGAAAAAAATTTTATAACAAATCCTTTATGCACACCTGTTGCCGCTTTGGAGCTCTTGTACACACAGTGCTGTTCATGTGCCAAGTGTGTGAGTGCACAGATGGGTTCCTGCTGTCCCCACACCCAGCTATAAGGAACCACACCTATATTCCATTGTGGTAAAGCACATGTTTACTCACCAGAAGAATAGTATGGGTTTGTTTTACCCCCTGTAATGCTCAAGTAAACATATGCAAATCTGTTAGAGCATGGTGTGGGTAAAAGTCCCAATTTAACACTTTTGCACAGGTGCACACACCTTGCCCTTCTTTGTACCAAGTGGGTAAACACAAAGATTGCTTCCTGTATCTCCCAGGCACAGCTACTGAGATGCACAGCTGGCTGTTACACTAAAGTACAAATTTACAGTAAAAAGTATGGGATTTGTTGTTGTAGCCCAATATTAATCCCATTCATGAGAACTCTGCTCTAATGACTGAACCATCTTCCAAAGTCTCCACCTCCCAATAGGTTAGGATTTCAATAAAGGAATTGTGGGGAGACACAAACAATCAGACGACAGCAAAGGAGAAATTATGTACAAAAAAGTATAGAGATATGAGAGATTTGAAAGGTAAGAAATAAGAATAATGGAGACTATAAAATCAATTGGACAAATCAGAAAAGTTCAAGGTTTACTTTCACTTTCTTTGAAGTCCAAGATTTCTATACTCTTTGTCTCTAGTAAAGACCAGAGAAGACTTTAACAGTTATAATAATCTCTATCCATAATAATTGTTATGGCTTGTATCCTCTACAAACTGTAAGCCAAATAGACCTTTCCTCTTTTAACTTTAAGTGTTGGGTGTTTTGTCTCAATGATAAGAAAAGTAACTGAGACAGTAATTTTCAGAAAATGATTATTCCTCAGGTTATCAAAATGCCCACATAACATCATTACCAAAAAACACAATAAAAAATCTGCTTTAGAGAAAATGTAGAACAGAATTCCTCTGCTCTGAACTCCCCAGCAAACCACCCATCACTGAAGTACACACCACTGGAATTCAACAAAGTAGACAGTTCAAGACAGCTCATCAGATTTTTCTCTTTATTTTGCACTTAAATCTTTTGAATTTTACTCAAGATTTAACACGATAGGCATAACAGCAAATAAAGTTAAATCTTCTAAATAAAACAAAAATAGAAATGAAGAAACAAGACTTCAACATACAGGCATAAGAAAGGCAAAATATCTGAGCATCTACTGTTTCAGTTAATAGCTAACCTGCTAGACCTCTTACCTCCTTACTTTTTTCTGTTTATGATTGGTAAATTTATTTTTGTCTAGCATAAAAAGTAAAACATCCACAAGAGAAAGCAAGTGCTCCAGTGGCTTAAGGGAAGACGAGGTCCTTGAGCAGCTATTATTCACATCTCTTAATAGTAATCATATGATGGGGGATACCTTCTCTCTGAAAAAAAAAAAAAAAAAAGCAGTGGATGAGGGAAGACAGCACAAAAAGCAGTTTTGCATTAGAGGTAATCCTGCATTCAGCTGCAATTATTTTTATTTTTTTCTTTTGTGATACTAGGAATTGAATTTAGGGCCTTTGTACTAAGATATATTCTCAGGTCTTTTTTTCATTTTTTACTAAGTTGCTAAGTTGCCCAGATGGAGCTCAGACGTACAATCCTCCTGCCTCAACCTCTCATGCAATACATTTCTTAAAGTCAAACAGGAAAGACTTCATTGTTCTTGAACATTGTTATGAACAATGAATTCTTTGTTCCCCTTAAGAGCGGTGCCCTTCATGCTTTCTGTCTTATGAAGAATGCTTGGTGTCACAATCTCATGTGTTATCTTTCTCTTGACTTCCTTTGGACTTTGATCTTTCCTCCTCCAGTGATCTTTTTTCACATCTTATTTTACCCATCCTCCCCATGGTTAGAACTTAGGTTATACCGTTAGCAATAATCACAACCTCAATGTTATCTCAATTTCAAGCATTTTACTCTCCAACAACTGCCTTCTATCTTTCTAACTCATTCTCTCTAATAGCCCAACTATCAAACTTTGGCTGCTATCCGTACTGAAAATCCCATGATTCTAACACTTATTTTTCCAGTGCTGGGAATTAAATACTTCTTTTTCCAGTGCTGGGCCTCATGATTACTAGGCAAGTGCTCTAACCCTGAGCTCTACTTCTAGTTCTCCTGTCACTTTACCAGTGTCCTTCCCCACTTTGTGTCCTTCATCCTTCCTAATCCAGTTTAGATTCTGTTGATCATTATAATCACTAATTTGCATCTGTCTTTTCTGTGCATTCCTAGCAAAACTCCAGCATTTGATTAAACCAACCTTCCTCCTATCATGTGCCTACCCTTCAACAGCTAAATGAGGTTGGAGAAAAACTCACAACCACGTCTAGTGTTCTTACTTTAATTTTATGATCTACCACCCAAGAAGCCTGTTATATTTCTTTAGTTCTTCCCTCCTATTCTTCTAGACGACTATTTCATTCTTACCCCTCCACACGTCCATCCTAGCCTTGTGCTCAGCTGATAATCTGCCTGCTATTTCACTTAGAAAATTAGAAGCAACGTAAAAGAATTTGTATGCACTCTCATTTCCATACAACCCACATTTCTGGATCTAGGCAATATACCATCTTTCTTTATTTTCCCTTATCTCACCTAAGACAAATCCATCTATCTGTGTGTTAGAACCACCCTTCTCTCTAACATGTTACTCAGCAACTCTTCACTTTCTCCTGCATTATCAACTTTGCCTTCTTCATCTGTTCATTATCAACATACAGACCTGTTATTTCTCCCATCTAAAAGAAGACGAAAAGCAAAACACTGTGACTTCTCCCGTTAGTACACGCTTCTCTGCTGCCGTTCTACAACGCCAACTGTCCTCCACATTAGTGATCCAGTGATCTCTTCTCAATTCCCCATACTGTCAGTATTCCTTCTTTCAAACAGTCTCCAGCCCTCACCTTACTTGACCCCTCAGTAGCTTTCCACACATTTGAACACTCCTTCCTCCCTAAAATGTCTTCTATCTTTCCTTGGCTTCCGGGTCACGACACATTCTTAGCTTCCTGTTTTCTTTCCCGTCCACTCCTTCCAGTTCTCCTTCACCAGTTTCTCTTCATCTGTCTGGACTGTAGTACAATCCCACTGCTCACTCTGTTTCTGCTGTTGCCCCTCTTGGGTCTACTCTCAAGAGCAACCAGGAAGATACTTATAAATTATAAGTCAGATCATTTCACTTCTCTGCTCAAAATCCTCCTATGGCTTTGTACCTCTTCCCATGGCATAAGCAAAAGCCAAAACCTCTACCATCACCTGTAAAGCAGTCTAGCTTCTTGTTGCCTTTCTGATCTCAAGTTCTACACTCCCTCACAAACTCTTCCCCATTCCAACTACTGGCCTTCTTGCTGTTCCTCAAATCCATCAACCCTGCCCCCTCCCCGCCACGCTGAGCCTGGCTCCCTCCTCCTTCAAGTGTTTATTAAAATTTAGCCTCTTAGTGATGTTTTCTCTGGACAGCCAATTTAAAAATTACAACCCTCCTCTCCTCACACCCCTTATTTATTATTTATGGGGGTTTTTTTTGTTTTTTTTTTTTTGAGACAGGGTCTCTCTATGTAGTTCAGGCTGGCCTTGAACTCACTATGTAGCCCAGGCCGGCGATCCTCCTGCCTCAGGCTCCCAAGTGCTAGGATTGCAGGTATGAGCCACCATGCCCAGCAACCTCACATCCCTTTTTCTAATCTGCCTTCCCTGCTTTATTTTTCTCCATATGATTAATCCATCTGATAAGTACATGAGTGTGTTTTACTTTATATAGAAACATATTGTGTATACATAAATGTGCCCATGTAAGTATCTAACTCGATTAATTTTCAAAAGCTGAGTATAACCATGTGACCAGAATCCAGACCCAGACATGTGACATAACCAACACCCCAGGAATATTTCATGCTCTTTTCCAGTCACTCTTCCCCCTCCACTCTACAAGGGAGCCACTATCTGACTTCGCACAGCATAATTCCTTCTGATTTTCTATTTCATGTAAATGGGCTAAGACGGTGACATACCTCACACTTCAGTGACCTATTTACTGCTAATTCCTCCTACAAGCTTCCAACCTACAAGCTGCACAGGGCAGAGATTTACTTTGTTTACAGCTGCACCTCCAGTGCCTATGAGAATGTCTGGCACAGAGTTAGAGCTCCACAAATGTGTGATGCATGGATGAATGAAATGTTGGACAGAAGGAGAGTAAGAAAGTTAAGACAGGCTTCGGGTTGGAACCACATCTGGGAGGATGAGCAGGAGGCCATGAGGCAGATAAAGAAAAGAAAGCTATCCTCCTAAGAAAGACAGGGGCAGTACACAGGCACGGCAGTGTGGGAAAACAATTTAGAAGGCAGTCGGCAAGCTCAGAGCAACGAACAACAGCCATATGCTGAAAAATAATAGTCACAAAGGCTAGAAAAGCTGGCAGGTGCCAGATTTCAAAGGCCTTAATAAGTACGTGGAAAAAGGCAAAGAAAGGTAAAATATAGAGGCCTTTCAGGTGTTTCTAGGACCCCTTTTAGGGTGTTGAAATTTAAGTGAATAAGAAATGGGATTTCTTTGAAGTTCACTCATTAATAGTGTGTCCTAGCTGGAGATATAGCTCAGCGGCACAAGTGCCTTCCTGGCAAGCATGAGGTCATGAGTTCGATTTCCGGTACCCAAGAAAGAAAAAAAAAAAAAAAGAACGGCCTTCATGCGTGCCTCTAATCTCACCTCGAGGCTAGCCTGGACTATACAGGGAGGCCATTTCAAAAAACCAACCAACCTAACCAAACAAAAACCCAGTGTGACTCATTTAAAAAACAAAATAGGGGCTCGGGATTTAGCTCAGCGGTACAGCGCCTGCCTGGCAAGTGCAAGGTCGTGAGTTCAATTCCCGGTACCGGAAAAAAAAAAAAAAATAATAATAATAATAACGTGTCCTAAAGAACAATTGGGATGAGGGAAAGGAGAAAGAAAGGAAAAGAAAATATGGACAGCTAAGATAATTATACTACTAATTTCTTTTAGTTCATTAAAAGAAATGGCTTGTGTTTATATTGTTTGATTAATTGTACATGCCTATATCTTGTAATTTGAGTAATACTTTGAAGATAATAATATGTGATATAATAACCATTGTTAATTTCCTATTATCTTGTTTTGAAATTCTATTTCATTTTTACTGGTTTTTTTTTTTCTCTTTAAAATAAAGAAAAAGAAAAAGAAAAGAATAGCCAGGCGTGGTGTCACACACCTGTAATCCCAGCACTTGGGAGGCTGAGGCAGGAGGATTGTTGCGAGTTCAAGGCCAGCCTAGGCTACAAAGTGAGCTCAAGGCCAGCCAGACCTGCAGAGCAAGACCCTGTCTCAAAAAGACAAAAAAAGAAAAGAATAATAATGTGTCCTAGTGTTCTCAGAAAAGAGTCTGAAGCCTGCCGTAATGTTCATAGACCTCTAACTATTCCTGAAGATGTGGGGAAGACAGGAGTCTGGGGAATAAGTGAGGCCCTCTTTTCTTCTCCTTTGAAGGAAAGACCAACTCAAGTTGGAAATGGAAATGTATAAGTCTGTCTGGTTAGCTGTGTTTCACTGAACTGAGCCAAGGGGCCAGGGCTCTGTCTTCCACACCTGCTTGACATGACTTTGAGGAGATGGTACCCATCACCACAGAGAGGGACAGACAGAAATACTCTGGATGTCTTCACCACCCCAAGGGCTTGTGATTCTCAAACTTGAGTGTCCGTCAGAAGCACCTGGAGGCCTTACTAAAACACAGATTGCTAGGCCCACCCCCAAGTGTTTCAGATGTTTTTATTCAGTAGGTGAAGGGTAGGGCCTGAGAATTTGCATTCATATCAACCTCCTGGATGGTACCAGAGTCACTGATTTGGGGATGATATATGGAGACTCACTCGCCTACATGATGGTAGCCTCCTAAACCAGGCAGAAAGTTTAATTTCTTCTTTCTCTTCTTCCAGAGAGGTGTGAATCCCTCTTCACTATCATTTCTGAGCTTCAACTTCTCCATCTCTTAAATATAACATTCCCAAATATAATTCAGATCAACCAGTTAGATTTGAATGTGTAGCTAGGGATAGTGGCACATATTTGTAATCCCAGCACTTTGTAAGGCTGAGGCAGGAGGATCCAAAGTTTGAGCCGAGCCTGGGCAATTTAGCAACTGAATGAAACCCTTTTTCTAGATAGACAGATAAATAGATAGATAGGGAATTAAAAATAAATAAACCAATAAATAAAGAACTACAGTGTGAAAGTCTACAACCACAAAAAAATTAAAAGATTGAATTCCTGATAAATAACAATTACTGTGCACACATAGGACATACAGAATTTGCCAAGTATCTGAAATTCAAATATTGTCTTATTAGCTATGTTCTTGGTCAAATTATTTAACTTCTTGGTTTCATCCAGTAGAAGGGAGATGGTAACAATTACCTTGCAGGGTTGAGGTAAGGACTTCAAATGACACACGTAAAGTCCTAGGCTTTTAATGAGAGGCTGATAAATGGCTTCTCTGACTGCGTGGCCTGTCACATCATAAGCTGATATTCTCAACAGAGAATCAGAAGCCTCATCCCTAGTAACAGCCACATTCAGCAGGGTGACAGCTGCCAGTCCCTGAAGCACGGTGTTTTTCAAACCCAGAGAGACTCCATCTCATCACCTTTTGCCCCAGGCTACAAGTTTATGTTCTGATGCTTCTTTTAAGTTCACAAAGTGCCAGGGAGTGCCTGGTGCATTTGGCATTCAGTAAATATTAACGAATGCTGACTTCTCTGCTATGAGAGGTACCTCCCTTCAGTCTTCCCCTCAGGTTTGCACTTACTTGGGTACCTGCGGATCATTCTGACGGGCCTGTAGTTCTGGTCTGTCTCTTGGATATGACAGACATATTTCTCGTTTAACTTGACTGGGTATTTCAGGACAGAGTACACCCGGTACAGGCCATTCATCTGCTCCTCCAGGATCTCAACTGTACTATGATTACTTAAGTCCCTCTCACCCCGGTCCAGCCAGGTCACATTGGGTGCAAAATACCAGCCCTTGGAGATGCAAATGGCCACATCCTCATCATCAATCTTGTCAAACTGCACCTGGGGCATTTCAGAGTCTGGGCAGAAAAAATAACAAAACAATTAGTTCCTTTTACTTTGAGCACCAGGAGGCTCAAGGGAGCAGAAATCTTGCCCTTGATTTTTATGTTAACCCCTTACAGAGCCAACACATCTGGAGAGGCATTGTGGCTCACACTGTGATCCAAGTGATAGAGGGGAAACTAACTCCCAACCTGAACAGTATCTGGCATGAGTTCATGTTCTCCAAAATCGAAGAATGAATTTTAGGAACATTAGAGGTTAAGACCAGAATATATTTATTGAGGGAAAGAAAACTTCTGTCCAAGAGGGGAACAGAAAGGGGGTCCAAATGGGTTGCCCAGGGAATCTGTCTTTTCTAGGGATTTTTATAGAGCTAAACCACAAGGTGAGGTGAGTCCAAGGGGGTGAAAAATAGGAAATCACAAGGTGGGCATGAGGTGGGACAAAACTATGGTCAGCCAATAAGAATTGTTCAGGTAAAATTGATGAAATTGGGATCAAATGGGGAAGCAAATCATGTAGCAAGGGGGCATGAATAGAGAACAGGGGCTTTTCCCTGTTCTGACTCTTCAAGGTGATCGCTATCTATTTAGAATATCAATCCCTGATGTCCACCCTTAGGGAAGTGTGTGGGTGTGTTGTTCAATCTTTTGTTTTGAGGTCTGGCCCGCAGCAAGTACGCCTCCATTTGCAAGGTATCCTCTCTTACATATTGGCTCCTTAGAGGGCCTGGCCCTGTCTGACTGCCTATATTTCTAACTCAGCTGCCCATAACACAAGCATAAAGAGAGAAGAATGGGATACTAATATGCTCCTGTCTTCCAGATCTCACCTACCACTGCTCTTTAGGTTTGCAATCTCTCTTCTTAGGGTGGCTCATTTGAGACTCTCCCCTGGCCTCTGATACCCTGCTGAGACTTTCCAACGGTAACGAGCAATTCTCATCACCACCTCCCCATCTCTGCCTTTTCCTGGACAAATTCTTCCTTGAGGCCCCCCTCCCCAATCTCCATGAGGTCTCTGGTGGGAAAAGATAGTTCTCCAATAATCCTGTGAAGCGTCAGGAGCCCTGGATACCGTGGAGATTCACTGATCAGCCAGACCTACATTTTAATAGTGAGAAAAGTGAAGCCTAGAGAAGCTAAAGGAGTTGCCCGAAGCCATCCAGAATTAGACCTTGGGCATCCTGACTCCCAGTGCATGGCTGGTCTCACTAAACCCCACGTCAAATCTCAGACTTTCCAGATAGGACGAATGTGTTGGAACAGATTTGGGGGTTTTGCTATTCCAATCTGTTTGGAGAGTTTGGGATTAGATCAATCCTGCTCATGCTGTTTTGTATGTATTAATGAGTGAATGATTACACAGGTACAGATCCAGCACCTTTAACTCAGAGTAATATTTTTAGCTAAGATAAACTGACTCTCATGATAGACATAAATATAACCAATAGCAATTTGAATAGAAGAGGGAAAATGAGAACACCAAAAGGGAAATCCCAAAGCTTATCCTTATGAACACAGATAGGGCTTGAAAACAAATTCATCCATAACATTTCTTTACCTTCTACAATTAGCTTAATTGTACTTTCGCCTCTTCCATCCGGCGTGATGGCCGAGCACTTGTACATTGCTTCATCCATGAAGTCCACATTTCTTAGCAGAAGTGATAGAGTCCCCTCAGAGATTTCATCCCGATCCACAGAGACTCTTCCTTCATACATGGCATTTTGATCTTCTAGTTGCTCTGTGTTATTATGAAACTGGTAAACTAACTTTGTGAAAACCTCAAAGAAATCATAGTACCGGAAAAAGCGGTAAAATTTCTTGTCATCATCTACCTCATATTCCTCCCTAATGTCTTCTCTTTCCCAAGAAAATTCAAGATTTTCTGTGCCTTCCACAAAGGAGAAGTGGCAAGAGAGGGTCACATCAGTGAAGGGGTGGGCCCGCAACTCTTCTGCCAACACTGACACTGGTGAAGAAGAAATACAGTTAGTAAAGATCGATGACCACTGCACCAAGTAGGGTCTAATGACAGATCTCAGAATCACTCCAGTTCTTTCAAACAGGAAAGAATTTAGCACAGATGTTCTGAAAAATCACTGGAAGAACGGAGGGATGAGCCAAAAGCAGGGCATGGAAAGGTGAGGCTTGCAATGTGTGTTTTTCCTCCCTACATTATGCTAGGCTCAGAATGACTCAGCAGAACTGCTTGGCTGAGTTGCTACTGCCTCTGCCTTATTTGGAAGCTGGTGAATCAGGAAGGCGTCACAGCAGGTATCGGCTCCAGAGCCAAACTGTACCTGCCAAATTCACAGGGGAAAGATGACTTTTGTGCTACATAACCTTTCCCCCCACTTCAACCAGTTGCCAGTTTCATCCTTGCACAAGTTTATGTAATTGGCAGAGCCTACGTCACTCCCAGAACGCTCACAGAAAAGCAATCTTGGAAGTGTTGTTTTTTTATTCTCCAGCTTCAGTAATTCAGAAAAGCACATCCAAAAGAAACAGATGTTCAGTAAATAAACCTATCTTACTTGCCACAAATATCTTCCAGCCTAGACAGTTATCAATAGTAGGGAGTACCGCCATGGCCTATGTACTATTTAGATAATCATAACATGGAATAGAACCCTGGTATGCTACAGCTAGAAGAGAGTTTAGAAATCATTTGATTCAATGTTTTCAAACTATTTTTCCCAGAACTCATCCCAGAGTTTGCCACTGATGATTAAGGAGGACCAAATCAGTGGGATCTCCACTTCCTTACCATTTTAATCAGACAATCCCTCTCTAATTTATTTATAAATTAAACTTCCAAATTCAGAATTCTCCTGTCAAATGTCTCTGTGGCTAAAAGATAAAACTGGAGGGCTGGGGATTTAGCTCAGCAGCAAAAGCGCCTGCCTGGCAAGTGCAAGGTCGTGAGTTCAGTTCCCAGTACCGGAGAAAAACCAAAAAAAAAAAAAAAGATAAAACTGATTCCCAGGAACCAAAGTTATTCAAGATCACAAATTAAAATACCAGTAGCACTTGAGGAATCTTAATCCCTCAAAGTTTAAAAGGTACCTTTAATGTCATAGCTAGCAAATTCTGTGTGTGTGTGTGTGTGTGTATTGCTGGGGATTGAACCCAGGGTCTCACACATGCTAGAAAATCCTTCTACCACTGAGTAACATTCCTATCTCATTACCAAACATTGCCTACAAGGTAAATTCCCAACATAAGAGAGAATAAGACTTAAGCATTATGAAAGAAAGCTTTTATTTTCCTCCTAGAAGCACCGTGCTGATGACAAGCAGCAGAAAGGAGGAAGAGCTGGTCAGTGTGAGCATGCATTAGGACACCACTTGATGCAATGAGGTGAGATGAAACAGGTGAAGAAGTACAGTATGAGCAAATCCAAATGATTGAAGTTAGTGGGTAAGGAAGCTCCCAAGCCATCAGCCCAGCAAGGAGCAGCTGGACCCACACCCAATGGTGGACCTGCCAGCGGAATAATGGACACAATATGCTCATTCTAGTAGCAACAGCCACATAGCTCAGACAGTCGGCAAAATGTTATTCTGGGCGTATCTGTAAGCTTCCTTTTGGATGAGATGAAATTTGAACAGATCAACTGAGTAAAGCTGTCGCTTCTGTAATGTGAGCAGCTCTGAGCCAATGGAAGTCATGAACAAACAAAAAAGCCGATCCTCCTACAAAAGGAAATGCCTCCTCTCTACAGGCTTGAACAATCATTTCTTGCCTTCACGCCTGAGGTGAAACGTGGGCTCTTCCTGCAATTGCGGCCTTTGCACTCAGGCTAGAACTACACCACTTGTGTTCCAGTTTTCCAAATACAGACCTTGGGACTCCTAGCGTCCATAAGCCAGTTCGTTCCTTCCTTCCTTCCTTCCTTCCTTCCTTCCTTCCTTCCTTCCTTCCTTCCTTCCTTCTCCTCCCCTCCCTTTCTCTTCACTCTCTTGTTTCTGTTGTTCTCCTGGACCCTGACTATACGGGATAAACTTTATTGAGAGTTTACAATTGCTAAACATATTCTAAAGACTTTTCCACCTTAATTCGTTTAATCTGCATAGTACATTGAGGCCATGCTATTTTTACCCCCAATTTACTACTGAGAAAACCAAGGCCTGTGAACATGCTCAAGGACACACAACTTGTGGGTAGGAAGGAGACTGTGGCTGCAGCCTGAGAGTCTCACTCCAGAGCTCTTCATGTGATACATGCTCTTCTGTCTCCTAACAATAGGGTCTCATTCCAAGTTTGATGAACACGCTAGTGACTATGGAAATGAAGGACTAAATGAGTGAATATAAAGAAAGGATGGAAAGAAGGGGGCAGGGAGAGACAACTTGGATAACTTTATAGACAGATGAATTTGCAAATTAAAAAACCAAATGTTTTCTTGCTCAAACCGTTAATTTTCTCATGTGGTTTTAATCAAAAATCAATGTTTTTCAAGAAATCCTGACCTGAAGATTTATAAATCCAAGTTCTAGTTCTAAGTAGCCCCTCACTGTATTAGTCAGTTAGCATCAGGCAAGTTACTTGATCTCTGATTGCAGTTTCCGCACAGCCAATTAGGATGAGAACACCTGCTCCAGGGTTGTTATGAAATACCTTGCTGTCCTAGGGACTATTTTTCTGACAGGATTGAGTCATTTTCCAGGGGGACAGAGGAGGAGAGAAAATGGGTAGAGGGGCTAGGGATTTAGCTCAGGGGCACAGCACCTGCCTGGCAAGCGTGACATCGTGAGTTCGATTCCCAGTACCGGAACACCCCCCGCCCCGCAAAAAAAAAGAAAGAAAATGGGTAGATATTTTATTTAGTAAGCTGCCTCCACCTCCATCTCTCTCACAAGGACATGCAGAGGTCCTTGATTGTGGCTTCTCCAACTTCACCCAGGAGTTCTTGCTACAGCTGTACCCTTTCAGGCCCCAGAGAAAAGGGGCTCAGACTCAGGCATCCAAAGGTGGGCCAATAAATTACAACGCATGACCTACTGAGGATGTAACTGGTAATAAGCCAGCATCTGACTGATATGTCTGCAGAGTGTCCTGTTTGAATCTAAATAACTCCTTTATCTATTTCAATCTGTTATTTCTAGACTATTGTATTGGAAAACACTAAAAACTACAGAGTGATACTATCTGGTAGAGTCACCTGGCACACATCATTAGGTCGACAGTATTGGTAGAAATTATAAGATAGTGTTAAAACAAACAGATACACCTTTCTCATTCTTACCTGAATACACACCCACTCTTTTTTTTAACTTGGCTGAGTTTGCACTAACTATGAATGATTATCAACTCACCTTACCTCATTGCACCCTTACACACACACACACACAAACACACACACACACACACACAGCAAGAGAAAAGAACCAGTAAATACAGCCTGGCACCTTACATGAACTCCTGAGTTATCTCTAAAGCAAGCTGCTGCCACCTTTAAAAGGCTGACAGGACTGCATAGATCCCTGAGGATGACACATGCCTGAAGACCATAATGTGTTTGATCACTGTCCAGAGGAGTCATACTGCAGGGTTTACATGCATAGTAATTTTTTAGAAACCTCTACTTATTTACTGAATTACATTAACATTTCCAACATCTTTATCTTGATCTATTACCGACACTTTTGAAGAATTTGAATGTAAAGAGTTACATAAAGTGTCCATCCAGATTTTTCAGGGCATGATTTTAGACACTCTGGATACTATAGTACAAATTGGCATTTGTCAGAATCACTGGGGGGAGGTCTCAATTTCTACTTTTATTTTGGTTAAGAGTCTGACACTACAGATGTGAGTGGGTTACTCATATAAATATGGCTTCAAATGGACAAGCCAAGGTGGGGGAAAGGCAGCTCTTCTCACTACAAAATAGAATGAACAAAACGCCTTACAATATATATCTCTTATATTTTCTCATCTGCTCGTCACCATTTCCTATCAAGCCAGGATAGCAGATATTTAGAATTCCCATCTAACAGATGAAAATGAAGTTTGAACAGATTACATCATCTGCTTTGTTTGTTTGGTTGGATTTTCTCTCCAAACCACTGTTTTCCCCACTAGCCCTAAAGTGGTTTCAGAAATACCCACAAAGTTGTAGGAAAAAAGACTCACCTGCCCCATGAAGAAGTAGCAGTAGGTTGACAGACACCAGAAAGGACATTCTCTGAGGAACAAAAAGAAGCAGGAAATTTTTTTTAGCTAGGAAGAAGTACGGGCCAACATGACCAGAGCCTCCTGCTGCTGGGTTTTGGGAAAGGCTCTCCTGAGCACCAACCCCATCCCTGTCCTACCAGACACAGCCAGCAGACAGAGGCTCCCAGCACTTCAGTATTCTATACAGGAATGTCGTCTGAGCTAAGTTCACTCAGGCCCATTCTATGCAGGTTTGTTCGTCTTACTATGTTATTTTTAGAATATGCACATCTGTCTCCCTACGTGTGTCACAGTTGAATTCATATGGATCCAGGATCAGCCCTAAAGATGACTTTGAGGGACCAGTGACAGTATCCCAAGCAATGCTTACTGGTCTCTTTAGGTCACTGGGGCAAGTTGGAGTTGGAGGAGATATAATTAATTGACATATGGGTGTAGCTGGAAATGTATGGAGGCCTCCTAAGCAGAAAAAAAAAAGGGCTGGGGATTTAGCTCAGCGGCACAGCACCTGCCTGGCAAGCACAAGGTCGTGAGTTCGATTCCTGGTACCAGAAGAAAAACAAACAAAAAAAAAAAGAGAGAGAGAAAAGAAAAAACAAGAGAGTGAGAGTACAAAACACTCCTGCCAATCTAGAGCTGCACTTTAATGGGGCTTTGTGGGCCCAGGCAGTATTCATCAAGAGAACTGGAAGTCCATGGGCTGTGGAAGCAGGTGGTTTATGAAGAATTTCAGTAAGTTTCTTTCCTAGAGGTCTGTTAAATCCTAGAAAATATGTGCTCTGTGGGTTGAATATTAACAGATACAGAAGTCTCAAGAACAAAAGAATGAAGAAGTAGCCCTTGCCAGCCAGTGGCCAGGGTCGGTGGGACAGGTAGAAAGATTTGTAACTAAATCTAAATACTCTAGGAATATGTAGTGATTGACATCATCTTTGATGTAGTTTGGGTTTTTTTTTGT